AAAGGTTTGTGCAGAGGGAGCAGTGAGTGAGGGTGAGACATCTTGGGGTGGGGCTGGCCAAGGAATGAGAGAAGGCATTGGCTGGCTGGGAGCCCTGGGCAATGACACAAACTGTGTGTCAGCACAAACTCTGTTTCTGCAGGAAACCAGGAGCCCTGCAAGGATGCAGCAGGTGGAAGGGGCAGGCTGTGTGTGCTGGGTGTGGAGGGAAGGATGGGAATCTCAACCTGTCAGTTCTACCCTTTTTCCCATCCCACCAGGGCAAGGGGGTAGTGAGGGAGTGCCTGTAACACCCAGCAGCTGACTGGGCTTTACCCACAAGAACCTGAGCACCAGACAGCATCTCCATGTCCCCACTTCTATGGCATGAGCAGTAGCTCCCCTGGCCAAGCCTGTGCTTCACACTCCAGCAAGGAATTCCCAGCTTCTGTTCTTGGTGGATTATGAACATTTAGGTGAGGATTTCCCTGGGCACTTGTGCACTTTTTTAACTGGAGGTAAAGAGGAATAAGCAAGTCAGGGCAGCCCTTGTGACTTTCAGCAAGGAGCAGGAGATGTAGTGGATGGGCCAGAAAGATGCTCAAAAACACCAACAGCCCCTGCTGAAAACTCCACTTGGACTTCTTCCTCCTGGTCCTTGTCCTGGTCACCAGGGACATTCCATGGCTCACCTGGGCAGTCTCCTGCTGTGGGCAGGGACAATTCTCAAACATCTGAGAGTTCAGGTCAAAGGGTAGGGCTGTAACTTGGGCTGTGTGTCCATTCCCTGGAGACCAGTGGGGCCAAGGACCAGTGGGCTTTGTCTTTCCAGCTGGTGGAGAAGAAAAATGCTGTGTGAACTGTTCCACATCCTGCTTCCCAGGCCATGAATTGATGCTACAGATTCTAAGGAAGCAGAGATGGAGGAAGAAGGGAACAGGAAATAGGAAGGGACTAGGTATGAGAGGACGGAGAGGAAAAGTCAGGGCGAAAGACAGAAAGCCATGAAAAGAGCAGAGTCAGAAACAATCTGAATGGGAGATAAAGGAGGTGAGACAGTGAGGATAAGAAGAATTGAGAGTGAGAAGGTGATTCAGAGATGGGAAAGAATAGAAAAGCAGCGAGAGACCAAGCTAAAGGCAGATTGATGAGCAGATAGATGGACAGACAGACTGTCATATCGCGTTTTACCTGAAGAGCTGGAGGGGAAGTAAGAAAACTGGGTTCTTTCAAACAGGGTTCAATGTGTGCTGGTGGCAGATCCCTGTTTGCCTGGAAAGGTTTGTGCTGTGCTGCACCAGCCTTTGAGTCACTGTGGATCTCTTTCAGCACAGAAATATGTGCCTGTGTCATTGAGTAGGGCACGCTGTATCTTCACAGATAAATGGTTGTTCCTAGTCCCATCACTCTGGAAGTGATTTTGGAATTCCTTCTCAAAATCTGCTTTGCCACCTTCCACTGAATATACAACCAGCTGCATTCTGGCATCCTTCTCCATGGGTAACTTGTACCAGTACATGTATATGAAATCTTTCCCTGATGCAGAACATTCCAGAGTGACGGTGTCTCCCACCCGGACAACTGAATCTGGTGATTGCTGAAGGGCCCAGCCTGGAGAGACAGGAGATGAAAGGAGAGAAGTGAAATGCATTGAAGAAGAAAAAAAACACATATCTTTGAAGTATGTCATGGGATGGAATGGCCCCAGGATATCAGAAAGCAATGGGACAGTGCCCAGCTTGTCTAAAAAAGGCACATAGGATCCAAAATCCCCAAACAAACCAACTTCAAATACAACAGTAAATCTGTTTGGAGAAATAATGACTTGGGTATACTCAAGTGAAGTATTAAAATGGGGGAGGAAAAAAAAAATTGCAGCATTGCAGCTTTTTGTGATTCAATAGGTCGTGGATAAATTCTCCTGGTTCATTGCCAACCCTCCCCCTGGAATCCTTGGGAAGGGGCAGTGCCAGCAACTGGGAGCAGAGCTGAGGATGCAGCAGCAGCTCCAGAGCAGCTGCTCAGGAGGGAGGAATGCCCACTTACCCAAAGGGAGCAGCATGGCCACAAGGAAGCGGTGGAAATGCATGGAGAAAGGCCCCCTCCTTCCAGGCACCTGCCCCTGGGGCCAGGACAGACACAGAGGTGTGGAAAGAGGAGGGTGGAGAGGAAGAGATGCGTCTCTCTGTGGGTGGGCAGGGCAGGGAGCGGGAGGCTGAAATGTCACCAAGGCTCTTGGCTGCCCAGGAACGGTGGGGAATGACACCTGCAGGCAGCCATGAGCTGCTTGTACTCTGCTCCTCTGCCTTCCTGCTGCGTGTGAGCGTGGCTGTGCAAGAGTAGGGGGCACTGCAGTAGGTGCCATAGTTCAGAGCTACCACGGAGCAGGATGGGGCTGTGTGGCAGCCTGAGTGTGTGCACAGGGATGCACAAAGTGGCAGAAATTGATGGGAAGACAAGGAGATCTCAGGAATGCATGGTTGTGTCTGTGTCCCGCTGTTTGTCTCCTCCCTAGGCTCCCTCACACTCACAGAGTCCCAGCCCTGCGAGCTGCCATGTGGAATCTCTGCTTCTCCCAGTCAGGCCTGACGTGTTGTCCAGGGATGGGAGAAGCTGCTGACCTGCAGAGCTGGTGTCTCTTGGAGCCTGGCAGAGAATAGTTCTGTAGCTGCTCTTCTCTAACTCCAGAGAGGGATCTCCAGGAGAGAACAGGCTGCCTGTAGTTCGGCACTGGGACTGCCCCTTGAGCAACTGCAACTCTCAGAGATTTCTGAGGAGAAGGGTGTGCCCCACAGGAGGTGTGGATACACCCTGACCTTCTCCGTGCCAGAGAAGAACAGATATAATCCTTGCCTCTTGATTGCAGCACTCTGTAAAAGAGCACCAGGACACAAATGGACAAAGCTGGAGAAAACCATGTCCTGTCCTCTTCCCTGCACCTGGCCTTGCTCACCTGCCCAAGGCAGTGGGAAATCCCTGCAGGCAGGAAGAGACACTCGCAGTTTGTGTGCCCTGAGTTTGGGCACAGAGCTCTGGCACAGACTCTGCACATGCGTGCTGGGCTGTGTGCACTGCAGGGTGAGGCTGGCCCACACAGGCCATCAAGGGATCCGACTGCCCAGGGCTCTGAAGGGCTTTGCACTGAAGATGTTCCCCTGTGTGCTGTCAGCAGAGGAGAGCAGCAATGCCTGCAGCCCCTCCCAAATCCTCTGCTGCAGGTGTGTCCCATTGCATTCATTTCCCCAAGCTGCCTGGAAATGATTCAGGGAAGCCCCCAGATTCCTCTACAGTAGTTGTAGAAAGAAGCAAAGAGATGGGGCTGCTTTGTAGGAACCCCAGATCCTGCCAGCAGCAGCAGCAGCAGCACTGCAGCAGAGAGGAGCCTGATGTGCCTGATGTGTCCATGCTCTGGGGTGAGCAGAGGGCAGGGCAGTGCATGGGGAGCCTTGCAGAAGACACAGGATTTGAGGAGTCAGTGCTGTTGAACAGGCATGGCTGCTGTGTGGGGCCCTGTGTTTAGGTGCTGGGAAGCTTGGACATGAGCATGGGAATCTGCAGGCTGGGAACCACCTGGAGTGCCCTGAGCAGGCCTGTGCTGTGCACGGGTGTGTGTTATGCAGGACAGAATCATGGGATGGGCCAGACAAGAAGGGACCTCAGGGGGTCACTGCTCCAACCTCCCTGCTCAAGCAGAGTCATCCCTAAGGACACGGCGCTTGACTGTTTCTACATGTTTCTGCAAAATCTCCTGGCAGAGAGGTTCCAAATGTTTTTTGGACAGTCTCCTCCTTTGGACAGTCTTCAACACTGCAAATCTCTTATCACACATTCAGATAGAACTTGCTGTGCATAATTTTCTGCCTCTTGTCCTAGTGCTTGGCATCACAGTGAAGAATCTGGATCCACCTCTAGGAACCCTGCCTTTAAAGCCTTGTAGACAATGATAACGTGGCCACGTCATTGTTTCTTCTCAAGGCAGAAAAGGCCCAGCTTCCTCAGACTTTGTTCTCTCAGGAGGTGCTCCACTCTAGTAATTATCTTTCATCTCCTGTCCTGGACATTCTCCAGGAGCTCCATGTCTCTTTTGAACCAAAGAGCCCAAATGGGAACATCCAAGTGGAGCCTCAATTCCCTCGCCCTGCTGGCAATGCACTTCCTAATGCATGCCAGGACATCACTGGCTTGTTGGACACCAGGAAAAATTGCTGCCTGATGGGGAGCTTCTTGTCCACCAGGACGTCCAGGTCTTTATCTGAAGAGCTGCTTCCCAGAGGGTCAGTGCTTCCCTGTGCTGCTGCATGGAGCAATTCCTCCCCAGGGACAGAACCCTGCATTTGCCTTTGCTGAATTTGAGCATGTTCCTCTCTGCCCATCCCTCCAACCTGGCAAGGCCCATCTGAAGGGCTGCACAGCCTTCTCAGGTATCAGAAACTCCTCCTAACTTGGTGCAATGAGGGAATTTGATAAGGACACTTTCTACCCTTCATCTGAGTCACTGATGTGCAGAACACTGTAACCTGTGGGAAATTTCTGTTATCTGCTCAGCTTGCTAATGTGACCTGTAATTTTTATCGTATGTTTGCTGAAGATAAACTGTATGTGGATCAAGGGCTGGAAGGCAGGTGGATCTTGCCCCAGCCACCACTCTGCATGGAGGACTTAGTGATCCACTGAACACCTTACCAGAGTAAGCACAGGCTTGTGCTCTGCTGTTCCTATTCCTTGGCCACAGAACAACCACAGACAAGGCGTTGGAGCAGAGGAGCATGTGGGCAGCTGCCACACGGTGCTGGCAACTTCCACACCTGCCAGGCCTTGCCTTTATGCACAGGTGCACCAAGAACTTCCCACACAAGCACTGCTTCTGTTTGAAAGTGAGTGGAATGAGGAGGTATAACTGGAGTTAAGTAAGAGGAAGACAATGGAGTGCAGATTGAAGATAGAAAGAAGAAGCTAGGGAAGGAAAGGGAGACACAGAGGAGAAGAAGGGCTGAGAGAAACAACTGTAGTGGAAAAAAGAGTTAAATGCAGAGGGAGGCCTGGAGTGGCAAGGAGACAATGATGGACAAATAATCTGTCAGCATCTGAGAAGAGGAGGAAGGCAAGGCTAGGAAGCAGAGCAGCTAAGGAGTGAGAAGTGATCACCCTGCCTCGTGCAGCACCCACAAGGTGGAAAGCAGGTCCTGTTTGTGCAGGGACAAGTTTGTGCTCAGCTCCCTCAGCAGTCTCACCACTGTGTTCACTCTCAGCACAGTAGTATGTGCCAGAGTCATTGAGAACGGCATGTTCTATTGAGAGGGTGATACTGTCTCCTTCTATCTTGCTGCTCTTGAAATGCCTCTCAAAACCCTTCTCCACCTCTGCATTAAGGCCTTCATAGGCATAAACCAACTGGGTCAGACTGGAATTCTTCTGTGAAGGCTGCCGAAACCAGTACATAACTCTGTTGGAGGATTTTTTCTCAGAGCATTCCAGTTTCACAGACTGGCCTTCTTTGATCACCATGTCTGGAGACTGTTCCAGGGCTAACACTGGAAAGGAAAAGTAGGAACAGTGAGGAAGAGGAAAAAATGCAAAAAAATTCAACTAGGCACTATAAGGTGGTAGGTAAAGGGTGAGAAGGCATTGGGCAGCCAAGGGAGCAGTTCAAGGCATGGGACAGCTCTTCAGATCAGCAGGGGAATTTCCAATCTCTCCTCAATAGGCAAGGTGCATTCCTGGGCTGTTTGAGTCCAAAACCAGGAACCACCTAGGGGCTGCACAAAGAATGACAAATAGATGGGCATTGCAGAAGATTCAGGCATTCCCATTGCCCCCACATTGATTGCTGATCCTCCATGCAGAAAGCTCTGCAGGATGAAGCACTGCCAGGAAGTGGCTACACAGCTGGGAGAGCAGCAGCGGGATCAGTGGAGGTGCTCAGGGCTGGCTTGAGTTCACTTACCCAGAGGGGCCAGCATGGCCACAAAGAAACAGCAGGGAACCATGGGGGGAAAGGCCCTGCCCTCTCAGCAGCCTGCCCCTTGTGTCTGCCCAAAGGTTTGTGCAGAGGGAGCAGTGAGTGAGGGTGAGACATCTCGGGGTGGGGCTGGCCAAGGAATGAGAGAAGGCATTGGCTGGCTGGGAGCCCTGGGCAATGACACAAACTGTGTGTCAGCACAAACTCTGTTTCTGCAGGAAACCAGGAGCCCTGCAAGGATGCAGCAGGTGGAAGGGGCAGGCTGTGTGTGCTGGGTGTGGAGGGAAGGATGGGAATCTCAACCTGTCAGTTCTACCCTTTTTCCCATCCCACCAGGGCAAGGGGGTAGTGAGGGAGTGCCTGTAACACCCAGCAGCTGACTGGGCTTTACCCACAAGAACCTGAGCACCAGACAGCATCTCCATGTCCCCACTTCTATGGCATGAGCAGTAGCTCCCCTGGCCAAGCCTGTGCTTCACACTCCAGCAAGGAATTCCCAGCTTCTGTTCTTGGTGGATTATGAACATTTAGGTGAGGATTTCCCTGGGCACTTGTGCACTTTTTTAACTGGAGGTAAAGAGGAATAAGCAAGTCAGGGCAGCCCTTGTGACTTTCAGCAAGGAGCAGGAGATGTAGTGGATGGGCCAGAAAGATGCTCAAAAACACCAACAGCCCCTGCTGAAAACTCCACTTGGACTTCTTCCTCCTGGTCCTTGTCCTGGTCACCAGGGACATTCCATGGCTCACCTGGGCAGTCTCCTGCTGTGGGCAGGGACAATTCTCAAACATCTGAGAGTTCAGGTCAAAGGGTAGGGCTGTAACTTGGGCTGTGTGTCCATTCCCTGGAGACCAGTGGGGCCAAGGACCAGTGGGCTTTGTCTTTCCAGCTGGTGGAGAAGAAAAATGCTGTGTGAACTGTTCCACATCCTGCTTCCCAGGCCATGAATTGATGCTACAGATTCTAAGGAAGCAGAGATGGAGGAAGAAGGGAACAGGAAATAGGAAGGGACTAGGTATGAGAGGACGGAGAGGAAAAGTCAGGGCGAAAGACAGAAAGCCATGAAAAGAGCAGAGTCAGAAACAATCTGAATGGGAGATAAAGGAGGTGAGACAGTGAGGATAAGAAGAATTGAGAGTGAGAAGGTGATTCAGAGATGGGAAAGAATAGAAAAGCAGCGAGAGACCAAGCTAAAGGCAGATTGATGAGCAGATAGATGGACAGACAGACTGTCATATCGCGTTTTACCTGAAGAGCTGGAGGGGAAGTAAGAAAACTGGGTTCTTTCAAACAGGGTTCAATGTGTGCTGGTGGCAGATCCCTGTTTGCCTGGAAAGGTTTGTGCTGTGCTGCACCAGCCTTTGAGTCACTGTGGATCTCTTTCAGCACAGAAATATGTGCCTGTGTCATTGAGTAGGGCACGCTGTATCTTCACAGATAAATGGTTGTTCCTAGTCCCATCACTCTGGAAGTGATTTTGGAATTCCTTCTCAAAATCTGCTTTGCCACCTTCCACTGAATATACAACCAGCTGCATTCTGGCATCCTTCTCCATGGGTAACTTGTACCAGTACATGTATATGAAATCTTTCCCTGATGCAGAACATTCCAGAGTGACGGTGTCTCCCACCCGGACAACTGAATCTGGTGATTGCTGAAGGGCCCAGCCTGGAGAGACAGGAGATGAAAGGAGAGAAGTGAAATGCATTGAAGAAGAAAAAAAACACATATCTTTGAAGTATGTCATGGGATGGAATGGCCCCAGGATATCAGAAAGCAATGGGACAGTGCCCAGCTTGTCTAAAAAAGGCACATAGGATCCAAAATCCCCAAACAAACCAACTTCAAATACAACAGTAAATCTGTTTGGAGAAATAATGACTTGGGTATACTCAAGTGAAGTATTAAAATGGGGGAGGAAAAAAAAAATTGCAGCATTGCAGCTTTTTGTGATTCAATAGGTCGTGGATAAATTCTCCTGGTTCATTGCCAACCCTCCCCCTGGAATCCTTGGGAAGGGGCAGTGCCAGCAACTGGGAGCAGAGCTGAGGATGCAGCAGCAGCTCCAGAGCAGCTGCTCAGGAGGGAGGAATGCCCACTTACCCAAAGGGAGCAGCATGGCCACAAGGAAGCGGTGGAAATGCATGGAGAAAGGCCCCCTCCTTCCAGGCACCTGCCCCTGGGGCCAGGACAGACACAGAGGTGTGGAAAGAGGAGGGTGGAGAGGAAGAGATGCGTCTCTCTGTGGGTGGGCAGGGCAGGGAGCGGGAGGCTGAAATGTCACCAAGGCTCTTGGCTGCCCAGGAACGGTGGGGAATGACACCTGCAGGCAGCCATGAGCTGCTTGCACTCTGCTCCTCTGCCTTCCTGCTGCGTGTGAGCGTGGCTGTGCAAGAGTAGGGGGCACTGCAGTAGGTGCCATAGTTCAGAGCTACCACGGAGCAGGATGGGGCTGTGTGGCAGCCTGAGTGTGTGCACAGGGATGCACAAAGTGGCAGAAATTGATGGGAAGACAAGGAGATCTCAGGAATGCATGGTTGTGTCTGTGTCCCGCTGTTTGTCTCCTCCCTAGGCTCCCTCACACTCACAGAGTCCCAGCCCTGCGAGCTGCCATGTGGAATCTCTGCTTCTCCCAGTCAGGCCTGACGTGTTGTCCAGGGATGGGAGAAGCTGCTGACCTGCAGAGCTGGTGTCTCTTGGAGCCTGGCAGAGAATAGTTCTGTAGCTGCTCTTCTCTAACTCCAGAGAGGGATCTCCAGGAGAGAACAGGCTGCCTGTAGTTCGGCACTGGGACTGCCCCTTGAGCAACTGCAACTCTCAGAGATTTCTGAGGAGAAGGGTGTGCCCCACAGGATGTGTGGATACACCCTGACCTTCTCCGTGCCAGAGAAGAACAGATATTTTCCTTGCCTCTTGATTGCAGCACTCTGCAAAAGAGCACCAGGACACAAATGGACAAAGCTGGAGAAAACCATGTCCTGTCCTCTTCCCTGCACCCGGCCTTGCTCACCTGCCCAAGGCAGTGGGAAATCCCTGCAGGCAGGAAGAGACACTCGCAGTTTGTGTGCCCCGAGTTTGGGCACAGAGCTCTGGCACAGACTCTGCACATGCGTGCTGGGCTGTGTGCACTGCAGGGTGAGGCTGGCCCACACAGGCCATCAAGGGATCCGACTGCCCAGGGCTCTGAAGGGCTTTGCACTGAAGATGTTCCCCTGTGTGCTGTCAGCAGAGGAGAGCAGCAATGCCTGCAGCTCCTCCAAATCCTCTGCTGCAGGTCTGAGTGTGTCCCATTGCATTCATTCCCCCAAGCTGCCCCGAGAAGATTCAGGGAACGACACCAGATTCCTCTACAGTAGTTGTAGGAAAAAGCAAAGGGATGGGGCTGCTTTGTAGGAACCCCTAATCCTGCCAGCAGCAGCAGCAGCAGCACTGCAGCAGAGAGGAGGCTGTGCCTGATGTGTCCATGCAAAGGGTCTCCAGTTGCCTGGGCTGAGCAGAGGGCAGGGCAGTGCATGGGGAGCTGTAGCAGTCTGAATTGTTGCTAGCATAGTCCAGGCTAAGGAAGCAAAAAGGAGCTTTGCATAATATCCAGAGATGTTCAATTCAGCCACGTGCTGAGATGCTCAGGGCCCAGCAGCCCCAGCACAGAGAGTCTCACTGTCTCTGTACAGGAGCCTGGGGGCTGGCCCTGGACTCGGGGCAGTACAAAGATGACAGTCAATCCGAGAATAGGGACGAGGGGATCAGGGACACAGGAACAGACATAGGAACAGGGAAGGAGCCAATGGGGTCTCACAGCTTTTTCAGGGAAGCTTCTTGTGTCTCCCTACACTAGGGAATGCTCCCCAGAGTCTCCCCAGGGAGCCTTGCAGAAGACACAGGATTTGAGGAGTCAGTGCTGTTGAACAGGCATGGCTGCTGTGTGGGGCCCTGTGTTTAGGTGCTGGCAAGCTTGGACATGAGCATGGGAATCTGCAGGCTGGGAACCACCTGGAGTGCCCTGAGCAGGCCTGTGCTGTGCACGGGTGTGTGTTATGCAGGACAGAATCATGGGATGGGCCAGCCAAGAAGGGACCTCAGGGGGTCACTGCTCCAACCTCCCTGCTCCAGCAGAGTCATCCCAGAGCACATGGCACACAGCTGTATCCATATGGGTCTGGGATATCTCCCAATAGACTCCACAATTTCTTTGGGCAGTCTGTTACAGTGCACAGTCTTCAACAGTGCAAACCTCTGACCTTAGATTCACGTGGCACTTCCTGTGCATCATTTTCTCCCTTTTGCATTGTGTCCTCGTGCTTGGCATCCCAGTGAAGAACCTGGATCCACCTCTTGGAACCCTCCCATTCAGATACCTGTAGGCATTGATGAAACTTTCTTGTTTCTTCTGAAAGCAGAACAGGCCCAGCTCCCTCAGCCTTTGTGTGCAAAAGTGGTGCTCGACTCTACTAATCATCATTCTTCTTGTCTTGTGAACATTCTCCAAGAGCTCCGTGTCTCTTTTGTACCAAGGAGCCCAGAAATGGACAAAACACAGTAAATTTGCCTCACTAGGGCTCAGTGGAGTGGAGCCTCACCTGCCCTGCTGGCAATGCTCTTCCTCATGCATCCCAGGACACCTCTGGCTTCTTGTACAGCATGACACACTGCTGGCTCATGGACAGCTTCTTGTCCACCAGGAGCCCCAGGTCCTTCTCTGAGGAGCTGCTCTCCAGCTGTTTTGCCCGCAGCCTGCGCTGGTACACGGGGTTATTTTTCCACTCACGTAAAATCCTGCATTTGCCTTTGCTGAATTTAAGGATGCTCCTCTCTGCCATCCCTCCAACTAGTCAAGGCCAATCTGAAGAGCTGCACAGCCCTGTGGGCTATCAGCAATTCCTCCTAATTTGGTGTGACCAGTGAAGTTCATGAGGAAACTCTCTACGCCATCACCAGTATCACTGATGAACAGAACACTGTAACCTCTTGGAAATCTCAATTAGCTGTACAGCTTGTGACCATACCTTGGAATTTTAGAATGTTTTTGGTAAAGCTGAACTGTATTATGTGGATCAAGGGCTGGAA